TCCTCTATGAATACGCCAGGTGGGACCTTTGCCCTGTCTGATCCGAGCTTGGCAAGGACATCTGCTGCAATGTTGGAATCACGTAGGACATGTAGAATTTCTAATCCTTGGAAATGTTTTCCGAGTTTTCGGATTTCAGCGCAGTAAGCACCCATGTTTTCTTTGGTGTAGTCCCAATCTTTGTTAATGACTACTGCCGAATCGCCGTATACGAGTAATCGCTTGATTTCGAGGGTAATTGCCACTCGTAGCCCATGGATGAGAGCTTTGTACTTTGCTTCATTGTTGGTAGCTTGGCATAATATCTGAAGGACATACTTGAGTTGTTTTCCGTCTGGAGAAATTAGGAGAACGCCTGCACCGGCTCCGCCTAGCTTGAGTGATCCATCAAAGTACAACTTCTAGTGGTCAAGGATTGTATTTGACATAGGTTGTTGAATCTCTGTCCACTCGGCAACAAAATCGGCAAGGGCTTGAGATTTAATTGCTTTCCGTGGGGTAAAATCGATGTTGAGAGCACTGAGTTCAACCGCCCACTTAGATATGCGCCCTGTTGCGTCTCTGTTGTGTAAGATGTCTCCGAGTGGGAAATCTGTCATCACGGTAATCTTATGGCTTTCAAAATAGTGGCGAAGCTTGCGTGAAGTGACCAGTAGGGCGTAGAGTAGTTTTTGCACATGCGGGTACTGGATTTTTGATTCTGACAGTACTTCACTGATGTAGTATACTGGGCGTTGTACTTTATACACGCGCCCTTCTTCTTCTCTTTCTACTACCATCGCCGTGCTGACCACAGTAGAAGTTGCCGCAATGTACAAGCATCATGTATTCGTCTTTCTTTGGAGGTGTGAGAACTGGTGAGGAGGTGAGGTATGCCTTAAGTTTCTTGAAAGCTTCATTGGCTTCTTCCGTGCACTCGAACTTGTCTGTCTTCTTTAGTAGTTTAAAGAAAGGTAACCCTTTTTCACCGAGTCTTGATATGAAACGATTGAGGGCCGCCATGCAGCCTGTTAGCGTCTGCACATCTTTGACGCTTCGAGGGGGTCTCATCTCTATTATGGCTTGAATTTGCTTGGCGCTGGCTTCGATTCCACGATGACTGACCAAGAATCTGAGTAGTTGTCCTGAAGGAACTCCGAATACACACTTGCTTGGGTTCAATTTCCACCTCTACCTTTTCAGGTTTTCGAAGGTTTGCTTAAATCTTCAATAAGTGTGTCCAGGTTCTTTGTTTTCACTACTACGTCATCCATGTATGCCTCCACGTTTTCGCCGATCTGTTCACCAAGGCACGTCTAGATAGCTCTTTGGTAAGTGGCACCAGCGTTCTTGAGTCCAAATGACATGGTCTTGTAGCAGTAGGTACCGAACGGAGTGATGAAAGATGTCTTGCTCTGGTCTTCTTCTTTTAAAGTGATTTGGTGATATCCTGAATAGCAATCGAGAAAGGATAATAGGGCAGATCCTGTTGTTGAATCAACTATCTGATCAATGCGTGGTAGCCCAAATGGATCTTTCGGGCAGTGTTTGTTGAGATCTGTATAGTCGACACACATGCGCCATTCGTCCGTGTTCTTTTTCTATACTAGAACTGGGTTTGCTAGCCAATCCGGGTGTAGAATCTCTCTGATGAACCCTGTTGCCAATAGCTTTGTGATTTCTTTTTTAATTGCTGCCTTTTTGTCGAGTGAGAATCGTCATAGCTGTTGCTTCACAGGTTTGGAGCCTTCATTGATATCAATTCTGTGCTCAGCCAACTCTCTTGGGACACCTGGCATGTCGGCCGGCTTCCAAGCGAAGATATCTTTGTTGTCCCGAAGAAAGTTGGTGAGCGCGAGTTCCTATTTTGCCGATAGGTGAGCACTGATGGTTGCCGTTTTGGCAGGATCACCGGTTCCCAGGTCGATTTGCTTAACGTCGGCTTCTTTTGGTGGTGCTAGGATCCTGGGCTTTTTAGCTGGTATCTCTAGTTCTTCCAGGCTCAGCTCCATGGCAATAGCAGCTATTTCTTTTCTACCATTGGTTGCTTGTGCTTTGGCTGCAATTTGAATTGCCTGAACATCACAGTCAAAAGCGCGCTATGATTGCGTGTTATGATGATTCAAAGTCTGCAACTTCAAACTTGATGAACTCTGTGCGGTAGTTTGAGGGAGTTCCAAAAGTAACCGGTAGAGTGATTTGTCCAAGTGTCATGGCTGCCTTACCGGGTACTATCCCATAGAAAGGTGTGCTCGTTGGTGTAATCATCCCGGCGAGTTGTAATCCCATCTTCCTTAGAGTTTCTGAAAAAATGATGTTGAGTCCGGCTCCTCCATCAATTAGTACCTTTGTGACAGTCATACCGGCGATAGTTGGATCTAGAACCAGTGGGTAATGACCTGCATTTCCTACGCTAGTCCATTGGTCTTCTCTTGAAAACTGGATCAGATATTGTGACCAATTGAGATATCTTGGAGTAGCCGGTTCTGCTGCCATGATGGTTCGTAGAGCTAACTTTTCTTGGTGCTTGCTTCTGGAATCTAGGGCCCCAGCGAAGATTACTGCTACTGTTCCCCTAGATTTTTGGAATCCCTGGTCTTCGGGGTTGTCTTCATCTTTTTTCTGATTGTCTTCTTTAGTGCTCCCCTTACTATCTTTTCTTGTGTATCGTTCATTGAAGGTGTAGCAATTTCCAATTGTGTGCTTTCCATTAGGGTGCAATGGGCAATGCATGCTTTCAATGTCGTCATACCTTCTGGGCTTGGAAAACTTCCTTGATTTGTCAGTTACCGCTACAGTGTTGTCTGGTCCACGTTTTCTCTCTTGGTGTCTGTTGTTTCGATGATTTTGCTTATCTGGGTTGTCTCGGTTGCTTCTTTTCGGGAACCTTTCTCGTGTCTTCTCCTCTGCAGTAATCATTTTTTCTACTATGCGTCTGAATTCTTCATTGTTTCTCGGGTTCTCTTTGTAGAAATCCTGAAACTGCCACCTAGCCATGATTCCGTGAGAGAAAGCTTCGATTACTTCTCGTTCGGTGATGTCATGTACTTGGGCACGTAGTTCGCCAAATCGTCGATAGTAATCTCTGAGACTTTCGCCTCCTTTCTGCTTGAGTCCCTTTAGTTCTGCGTGGGTGATTGGGTGCGTAATGATACCCGCGAAATTTTCACAGAAAGCTCTTTGCAAGTCCTTCCAATTTCTGATTGACCCTGGATTCAATTTGTCGAACCATTGGAGGGGCATGGTTTCTAGGGCCATAGGAAAGAACAAGGTCTTGATGTCGTCGTCTCCTCCAGCCAGTTCAATCGATTGTGAGTAGATTCTGAGCCACTACCTTGGTTCGGTCTTGCCATCATATTTATAGTGGTTGGATGGTTTGAACTTGTGCGGTAGTCGTATTGACGCAAGTCTGTTTGCAAAACAGGGGAATCTATCGTGCGTTCCGGTTTCTTTGAATTCCGATTCGGCACCTCCTTCTGGCCAACTGTTGTTTTGATGAGAGTAATCCTGTGAGGCTGTCTGGGTAGGCGCCCTGCTTCTGGTCTTTCTTGGTTGTTCAACTCGGTGGCTCTGACTATGGTCCCTTCTACTTTCTCTGTTATGACTTCCACTTGGTCCAAGTCTCTCGAAAGCGGACTTTCTTTGATTTTGATCCTCTTGCCTATGGGTCGTTGATCTGGCGGGTAGTCTTGAGTGGGTCCTTTCTTCGTGCGTCCTTAGGGCTACTGACCGAAGAAAATCCCGGAGTTGTTCTTGTTTTTCACTGGGATGTGAGGTCGCTCTGAGTTCTTCTAATGCTTCTCGGATCTTATCGTAGGGTGTATTTGCCGTGCGTCTTTCTTCGACTTCTCGTTGTGATTTTCTTCTATCATACTCAGCCAATTCTTACTCATATCTGATCCAAGCTTCCATTTCTTGGATAGACACACGAAAGCCCTGTAAGTTACCTCGATTCATCCCAAATGGCATACGCATGTGACCGTCTTTGTCAAAGTAATTACCAGCAAAAGATCCTATGTGACACCATATTAAATTTTTTTTTGAAAGACCGAAATCTTTCAAGACAACCGACAAACAAAAGTAGTTAATCTAGCAACAAACAATGTAATTTATCTAGGAACTAGTCATCATCCATATTTATTAGTGTTAGAGAAGAGGAATAGGCAAATCGGAAATGCACATGGACAGTGGTAATGGAATTGTACGTGCGCATGCAACATACATGCATGTCGTGTGCACAGTACTAAGAAAGGCTCAACAAACTTTTGGGTCAGTACAAAACTGAATCGGCGTCTTTTCTTTCTGACTGTCGTCAGCACAAGCAACAAGTCGAAACGCTCATCCACGTCGATCTCTACCGCTGGTAGATCGAGTTTGTTAGCTATATTATTTGGCATACATGTATAAAAAGCAGGTAACACCTGCGAGTCACATGTCTAACTTGTCAGATTCCCCTAACTAACAGAGTTCTTATCATAGCAAAGCAAGCACTGACAAACAAAGACAAGGCCTGAATTTGTTCAGAGGTGCAACACTTTTTCTTGCCGGGATGGCAACTATCTATCACGAGCATGCCGGGATTAGCTTGGTCATTTGTTTCCATGTAACAATGCATTGTACTCCCTTTAAATAGAGATAACAAGCAACAGAAAACGCTGCCGTTTTGCAGCAACAAATCATCGTGTGTCCACTCTGTTCGCGTGTGTTGTTCATCTTCTTCCTCTCGCCGGTTCGGGATTCTAACATAGTGTTGTATACTTGTATGTAGCTCGCTCATCTAGATTCTACAGAGTGCTGTATATATGCATGAACACCAACAGTTATTTGGTTCCTTGTGGTATCAATCACTAATTCACTATATATATGTAGGGAGAGGGATTGTTGGGTTCTCGTTTCCGGGATGCCGAGAAGAGACCCACCATCAGCAGCAGTTTGGATACGGATATGGATATGAACATCATCATCAGCGCCCTGATGAGCATCACAAGATCCACCGATTCAAACAGGGCGATGTGGTCGCCATGCCGGCCGGTGCCCAGCACTGGCTGTACAACGACGGCGATGCGCCGCTTGTGGCGATCTACGTCTTCGACACAAACAACAACATCAACCAGCTTGAGCCTTCCATGAGGGTACTGCTAGCTACTACATCCTTCGTTTCGATAAAATTCGATTAATTTGTTGTTGTACAATATGTATTCTTTGTTGCAACTTACATATTTGTACAATATAATTCGCAGAAGTTCTTGCTGGCTGGGGGATTCAGCAAGGGGCAGGTCCACTTCGCCGAGAACATCTTGAAAGGAATCGACGCCCGGTTCCTGAGCGAAGCCCTGGGTGTCAGCATGAATGTCACTAAGAAGCTTCAGAGCCGACATGACCAGCGAGGCGAAATAGTCCGTGTGGAGCTGGAGCATGGCCTTCACCTGCTCAATCCACCGTCGTCGTCGTCGTTTCCAACACAAGACCAGCATCTTCAGTACCAGCATCGCCAAACATGTCAACGTTTCGACGGCCACGACAGTCACAACATCTGCACCATGGAGGTGAGGCACAGCGTCGAACGCCTGGACAAGGCTGACGTCTACAGCCCTGGTGCTGGAAGGATCACACGCCTGACCAGTTAATCAGTTACGCTTGCTGAATAGTCCAAAAAATATCTCGAAAGAACCTGGATGTCAGGGACAAAGCTGTTTCTATAGTCCTATGTTCACCCACGGATAACATAATAACTAGAGTTTAAGATACCCTTCACCTGACATAAAAAATAGAGTTAAATGCACGAGCGGCCCTCGAACTTGTAAGCGTGTGTCACATAGGCCCCTGAACTTCGAAAATGCATTTCTAGACCTCTAAACTTGTTAAGTGGTGCACTGTAGGCCCTTGCCAGCCATGTGGACATTTTTCGCTGATGTGGCATGCTAGCGTGGCATGTATTTTGCCTTTAACCCCCTCACATTTACTTTTCTCATAAAAATAGACCTTTCCTTCTCTCTAATCTTCCATGGCCACCATGTGCATCGGCTCCCGGCGGTGGCAGGAGAGCAGGCTCAGGCCTCGACGCACCCGGGAGAGCCCGCGGCTTGCCTCACGGTGGCGGCAGGAAGTGGGGAAGGCGGTGGTAGACTTGGGCAGGTCAGAGGAGGAGGGAAAGAGGGAGCTCAACGCTCGCCTCCGCTCAGCAGTCAACGGCGAGCAGGGAGACGGCGGTGATTGGCGCAGATGAGGCGCGGTCGAGCGTGCTTAGGCGTGGAGCGACCGCCTAGGCAGGAGCATGGGCACGCGCACAAGTACCAGCAACAGCACCCCCTCCCCGCCGTCCACACACACCCTCCGCCTTTGACCTCCTCAAATCTCGGATCCCCGGCCGTGTCGCCGCCATCTGCGCTTGGGGCCGAGCTCGCCCAGCCGTGCAGCCACTAGGGGCCCCGAGCTCTCCGTGCATACAGGTGGTGTGGCGCGGGTGCAAACGTGGCTAGTGAGGGCATGGCCGCGGGCTCTTCTGGGTGCGCCGAGGTCATGGCCTGCTCTCCTACCACTGCTCGCCGCCGGGAGCCAATGCACATGGTGGCCATGGCAGATGAGAGAGGAGGAAAGGTCTATTTTTATGAGAAAAGTAAATGTGAGGGGGTTAAAGGCAAAATACATGCCATGCTAGCATGCCACATCAGCGAAAAATGTCCACATGGCTGGCAAGGGCCTGCGGTGCACCACTTAACAAGTTTAGGGGGTCCAGAAATGCATTTTCAAAGTTCAGGGGCCTATGTGACACATGCTTACAAGTTCAAGGGCCGCTCGTGTATTTAACTCCAAAAAATAAATGCATAGGAAGGACTCGTTTATCGATGTGACCTCATCCTTAGGTATCTTTATAATTTCATAAGTAACATAGAATGAAATAAATGCATAGGAAGTGTCGGGGACCAATACTAGGGTACTCAAAGAAGAGGAGCTAATGGTCATCTACAGTGATTCACCCACGCTGTCAAGTGCGCGACTACAGCTCCAACAGACCCACGGGCGCGCGGGTTCCGCCTCGCCCGACCTCTAGGTCGGGGGCTCCGCCTCGTTCGACCGCTGGGGGCAGGCTCCGCCTCGCCTGACCTCTGGGTCGGGGGCTCCGCCTCGCCCGACCGCTGGAGGCAGGCTCCGCCTCGCCCGACCCCTCCGGCGCGGCTCCCAACGGAAGCCCATATCACCGCCAACCACTACGAGCCAGAAAGTACGACCCAAGGTCAAACTTCTGGCACCGTACAGGTAGCGTGCGCATCTCATCATGACCTGTGCCCGCGATATGTCACTCCGGGGAACTCACACCACCCACAGTGACGGACGCATGGTCATCATGCTGCCTGCTCCCTATGCGGTCGCTGACCAGAATGCTGGTCCGCCACGTCGCCCGTCGGGATGGGATGGAACGCCACGATCCGCTGACAACGCCAGGGCGTGGCATCAGCGGTGATCAGGCACCCGGCGTAGAGCCGTCCTTGTCACCTTCTGCAGTGCCGGCGGGACCCGCGTAAAGGAAAAGAAAGGCCCGAGTGGTCCGAGAGGCCTTCTTCCCCTTGACTTTTACCCCTCTATCTTCCTCTCTCCTTCTCTGTAACCTGCTCGTCCCCTTGGACTATAAAAGGGGAAGCAGGACACCCCATGGGAGGAGGGAAAAGGAGACAACCTAAGCGACACACACACGCACCAGAGACTTGGGACCTTCTCCCTCTCTCGTCCGTTTGTAACCCCTACTACAAACCAAGTGCCAGTAACACAAGCAGCGCCGAACTGGACGTAAGGACATTCAGTCCGAACCAGTATAAATCCTTGTGTCTTCCGAGCACACCATCCGAGCTAGACGCGCAAATACAAATTTACTAGTTGGTGACTCGAAACACCGACAGGAAGGCATCTATACGGAGGCTCATAGGCTGATAACATAGAATTATAGCATAAGCACAACACACAATAGAAATACAAAAATCGAGCAGCAGCACTTAGCAATACTGCAATATAGCCTATTAGTCTAGCATGCTAGCACTAGTGGAAAAATAGTTGGTTAAGAGAATATTTTACTGATTATTTTTACTTACTTAGGATGTAACTTAGTTAGGTATTAAAAAAAAGGGTAAACACTACAACAATTAACCACAAGGCCCAGTGCACCTTGAATGATGACTACATAAGTTTAAGCATAATAGCAGTACCTTTTCATATGACTTGGCATGGGCTCTTAGTTTGGTGCCACATGTAAATCTTTTGCCACATGCTGCGAAAGGCATATGTTATAATTCTCCGATGCATGTGTTTATAGGTGCAAACATAAGTCAAAATCCAATGAGAGGGCCTGAAATTCAAAGCATTTGTTTGTTAGAAGATGTAAATGCACTATAGCCAGCCAAAGCACGAACAACGGAAAGGCATCCATTCACAATAAACGAAAGGAACTGGTTAGATTGTTTGGGTCAGGCCACCATCCTGGTGGCCCCCAAATGGCCAAATGGTCTTCAACAAGCCTGGGGCTAGTTACAGGCTCTACTTTTAAGAGAGAAAAAAACAATTTGAATCTCAACTCAGGCTGAACCACTTCTAGCAAGGAAAAAAAGGAAGAAAACAAAACAAACCAACCATGCCATTTAAGTAATTATGGATAACATGAGTTAGCATACATATATATGGTAGATGACATGAGTTTTGAGCTTCAGTAGCCGAGTACAGGATCAGTAGATGTTTGCCCCATACTAGAGTTTAACACTTGATGTTGGTCATCAAGTGAAATGGTGGTTGTATGACATAATCGGATTGTATATTTGTTTTTCCCATAGCAACACAAGGACCTTCAGCTAGTCTATTACACATTATTTGCTTGACAAATGTGGCCCTTAACAAGAAAAAAATATGAAATGCATAGTAAGAAAAGAATGAAAATGTCATTTTGTCTGCATAATCAGTTAAAGCATGCTGGTTTAACTTAAAACAAAAAAGGTACCCTAGTTCACTTATTGCACAGCCCTTACATTTGACAAGTTAAAAGTAGAGTTCAGAACAAGTAAACAGCAACCCCAGAACTTCAAAATTAAACAGACTTATTACCTTGAGGGCTACTCACATGCTTCGATTGGAATGGACACACACTACCAGGAAACTGAATTACCTTGAGGGGGCCAAGTAAATAGCTCAAGGCGGGAAACCATAAAGGAAATAGCTCATGGTGGGAAACCATCAGCAAAGTCCACCAAAAATACAGGGCAAGGGAAATACATTTCCTTGGCTGTTTGGCTGCCAAGGAAAATAGGGCCACATCTAATGTGTCATACGGAAAAGGAAATGTCTTAATGCCAAGTAAATAGCTTTTGTTTGGAGACTCATACCCCGCAGGCCAAGGAAATTTTCCAACCAACCTAGGTAGCTTTAAAAAAACGCCAAGGTAATGGCTATTTTCTTAATCCTAGAGCTGACTGGTAGTCAAGTACTCAAGTGTATGAGTCGAGTATGTAGAATCCAAACATGTTGAAACACAGCTATGACTATAAGGCAGCATATCTACTGCAGTTTAGACCTGACTATTTCCACTAGCTATTGACTAGGAATACTTTTCAGATTGATGCTAAATGAAAGACCAAATAGAAAAGTTCACACATAGCAGCAAACAAAAGAGGACTAAAATATGGCCAATTGGATGTGTTTTGGACCAAAAACTGAACGATGCCGAGCATCGATTTGACTAACCTGCTTATTTTCCTAGATTCACTAAGAAAAATCTCATGTTCCTAAATATTGCATTAACATTTGGAAACACATAAAACAAGCACGTGTGTCATAAAATAAGATTGCTGGTGTCAGTTTGCGACTCTAAAACAATATGAGCATAAACAAAAGGAATACTAGGAATCACTCACATAATGAGAAATAACAAATCACATAAACCTTAACATATTTTCTGTCCTCAGAACTCAGATAGATATGTAAGAACAAGCACTAAAACCTACTGGTGAGTAACAAGTAATTTCCTAAAGACCAAGCATTTTTTTCTTTGATCTAATATACAAGCATCTATCAGAAAGTCAAGAACTTTCAGATTGACATGAACTCCTGAAAAAAGAAAAACCTTATTTATTACAATGTGCTTGCCTCATTAAAGAAAAACCTCCCTCCCCCTACGAAGGGGGGGAAGAGTAGTACAGCACATATTGTTACACACATGTCGATGATGATTTAGCTAGCTTGAATCTCGACTACAGGATCACTCTCTGTTGTTGATGTCACGGCAACACATGGCATGTGAAAGGAGAACAGGGGTCTTATTGAGTCGACAATGGAAATGGAATGCATCTCACACGAACTCACCACTCATCACAGCACTCACGGCAACGCAGGACGTACGCCGACCACATGGGCTGGGTTCGTTCGTCCAGCCCAAATGTGCGTGTCTTGAGAAATTGAGATGAAATGGCATCAACACCACGCATCTCAAATGAAGACAGGGATTCCCCTCAAAAAAAAAATGAAGACAGGGAATCTCACACGATTTCACTTCACCACAGATCAGAGCATTTCCCTTCCTTCTCGGCAGACCCCCTGCGTTCGTGGAGCTCAATTTCGCCAACGCAAATACGCAATTCGTTCGTAGAGCCCG